CAATTCCACAGTGTGCATATCTTCCTGGCTGTAGAACTAACCCACTAATATTAAAGTGGTAATCAAGATTGCCTCTAAATATTCATAGCAATAAATGGCTCCCTTGTGCCCCATGTCCTTACTGTGCTTTTCTGCAGTTAATTTAATTTTGTCCTCTCTCAATTCCACAGTGTGCATATCTTCCTGGCTGTAGAACTAACCCACTAATATTAAAGTGGTAATCAAGATTGCCTCTAAATATTCATAGCAATAAATGGCTCCCTTGTGCCCCATGAATGCCAGAGCTGCAGTCTGAAGCATTTATTTAGTGCCAGAGAGGGATCTAGTTAGTTCAGAAGCGCTTAAACACAGTATTTTAATACTGGAAAAGTAGATCCCCCCCCAGTCTGCAGTATGGGTGGTTGAGATGAATGACGGGCTCAAAATGGACCATCATCTTTGATATGACAACCTAGAAGTTATGATGGGAGTAGACTCGGCTACTGACCCCACATCTTTTTTTTTTTTTTTTAATGTAATTCCCTTTCTTCTGGCAGCTCACTGCCACCTTATTTCAACTTCATGGTCAGATTCAGATTCTTCTACCACTGGAAATGGTCTATTCCTTAGGGACATAGAAACACCAAAGAGCTGATACTATGTATCATTCCATAGATCAGAGGGAAAAAATCATAACAATCTCTGTACCCATGAAAAGCTACATTTAGTGATTCCAGCTTTTTTGTATCCATCACGGGTAAAATAATTTAAATTCAAGTTTGGGTGATCTCTCAATTATAGAAATCAAGGAGAGGCTGCACAACACGGATAATGCCAAAAATAAAATAACTATATCTAATCAATAAATCACTTTTCAACTTCTCTTTATAACCCCAGTTACGGAGGCTATGCCAGGCAAGTAAGTGCATTGCAGGAGACCTCGGAGAGGGCACAGGGCAACTGGGGGCCCGAGAGGCAAGCAGGCAGTGGGTTCTGGCTGGGGTCTGCCTTGCAAGCCTGCCTGGGAGAGCCTGCCCAGGGCTCACTTCCACGAGGAACTTACAAGCAGAGAGGCTAAAGGAGAAACCAGACCTGCCGACACCTTGTCTTGGACTTCCGGCTTCCAGAACGGTGGAAATGAACTTCTCTGTTGGTTCAGGGGCCCAGTCCGTGGTGTTTTGTTACGGCAGCCTTAGCAAAAATCATACAGAGGGCTTCTAAAATGCTGGTACTATTTTGATTTTTCAGCTGAGTGATAGATACTAATGATTATTTTATTGTTGTTGTTCAAACTGTACTTATAATTTTTTTTGGATGTACTTTGCCAATTAAAAAAACCAGAAATACAGTGACTGCCAAAACATTTCTGGCCTATTGACTAGCATTTAATTGATTTATTCAGCAAATGCAGTTCTTTAAGCATTCAATAAGAGACATGGTTCCATTAGGGTAATCAATATATCATTTTCTGAAAAAGGAGTGCTGTGTTTAACCAGCACTGGTTTGTTATCTCTGATGTATTAAAAAATCAAAAGAAAATGGAATAAATACATGCTTTTAAGCTAACAAATCTAATGCAATTAGTGGTTTTGAATTAAAATAGCTCTCTGTTCTCCTTCTCCATTGATTTCTCCTGTACCTTTCAGATCTCAATTAAAATATACAGATATAGATCTTTTTCCCTCTCTGTGGGGGAATGTATTCATCTGAAAGATGTTGACATTGAAATGTTATAACAGCTCCTGTAGGGATTTATGTGGAATTAGTGCAAATGTTAATATTTAAACTAGCTGAATTCTTTGGAGGAACAAAGGGTTCCTGCAAATGTTTTATTTTTATTCACAAATATTATATCAGGATCCATCTTTAAAATAGTGATACATGTATCAGTATCTTAGGCAAACACAATTTGTAATTAAAGTGAATTGTTTACACACACATACAAAACACAAATATGCATGCATATTCATACATGGGGCACATTTTGACAAATCTTGACACATTTTTCTAATATTTTACTGTAAACATAATAATCTTGTTTTTCGAAGATACAGTTAGTGAATACAAATCGCAAACCCTAGGAAGAACATTCTATACATGTTTGTAATTAAATCTAAAGTCAGAAAGTATAGGCAAATTTAAGTAAGAGTCCCTGTAGCGGATTTGTAAGCAAATCCAGGACTTAGAAACAATTTTACACACTACATTACAACAAAAGTGATGTATGTTCAATGTTGCCTAGGATAGGAACAGTAATAAGAATTTTTAAAGTTCAGGCAATACTCAGAAATCCATACAATTCTTATCAGACCAGATAGTGTCAAAATATGTTGATTAAGAAGTATGGTTTTCCCGATCACTAGATGTTTTATAGTCATTTGCTCGGATGAATCCATAAAAAATAAGGTCGCTTTAAACCCAGAAATTATACATTGGTATTTCATTTATATGGAAATTTACCAGTTGACTCTCAAACTTAACTACTTAAGAGATAATATCACCCTTTAATTAAAATAGAGAAGAACCTTCTTAAAGCACCTTAATAAAAACCACTTGGGTTTCCACCAAATTTTATCTCCTGAAGGCACCAATATTTACAATAGTCTATTAGTCAGGTAGCAACAGGATGCAAGTTTTAGGTCTTTATTACTGGCTCAGAGATGTCCAGGGACGATGGGAATTTCTGTGGAGGTCTGTGAAGATGGAAACCTTCTGTAGCCGCGCTGGCCAGCAGTGGTAGTCACTAGCCATATGTTGTTATTGAGTCTCAAAATGCATTTAGTGGGACTGATGAACTGATTTTTAAATTTTATTTCAATTTAATTAATTTGAATTTAAATAACCATGTTGTGGCTAATGGCCACCGTATTAGACATAGGCAACTGTAGAAGGATGCCCCCCAACTAAAGCAAACAGTGTTTCATCATTTGCGATTCTGCCCCAGTAATGTGGTGTCAGCTAATATGCATCTTAACATCTTCCCAAAACTCATGTGACCTCCCGTTGTTACGTTTTTGTTTCATCTTAACAAATTATTTTAATGTTGGATATTGGAACTTATGGTCCATTTTCTCCTAAAGTCTCAGAGTCACATGTGGTAAGTCAATTCCTGGAATAGCTGAAATGCAATGTCGGGAAAAGGTCTCTGAACTCTGGGGGCATCATAGTGCCTTTCAAATGTGGAATATCGGGCAGCTATGCGCAAACCTCTTACTCGCATATCCATTATACAAGCATAAAACCAAAGAACTTACAAAGCGAAGGCAGACAAAACCCACACGACTGACCCGAGCCGCCCTGATCGCCCGCGGCTGCCGGTGGTGGCTGAGCGGGGCTGCGGCGTCCCTTGCAGCGCCAGCGCCACGCAGGCGGCAGGCCCGGGGCTCCGCGCCAGTCCTGCGGGATGGCCCACCTCTCCTCCTCCTGTGCTCCTTCTGAGCCGCTGAGGGGCCCAGCTTTCTGCGCTGGGCTGTGTGGGCCTCTGGCCCTCCCTCAGGTGGACTGTGCCAGCTGTGAGCTGATGCCTCCGGTGCCCTCTCCCGACAGCGTGGAGCCCCGCCGCGCTGGGTCGGGGCCGGCTTGCACCGGGGACCGTCTTCATCAGTCATCAGGACGAGTGCACAGCATTCATTCTTAAAATAAACATTAAAGAGTAAATTCTCTCAATGGGGAATGCCCCCACAGATACGTAAAGCCCTGTGGAGACAGGCTGGCATGGATAAGGGAGAGCTGGGATTGACTGCCAGTCCCCAGAATCATTGAGGGGCCACAGGAAGAGGGGCAGCAGAGAGGGGCTTCAAAGGGTGAATCTGGGATGGCCAATAGAGGATGATGTGGGTAGGGATTCCGAGTCTCTGACTTGGGCTCAAAAGGTAGGTGGGTGGCATATTTGGCCACCCTGGTTTAGGTGGGGAGAGCCCGGGGTAGGGGTATACTCTGAGGGACACGTTACATGGGCACATTCCCAGGGGAAGGAATTCGCTGGGATTTCTGGGGCTGAACAGAATACAGGCGCCTGCTCTCCCCACTGACACAAGGGGCCTAGGGTCCCAGGGGCCCAGAGGGGAGGGGCAGAGGTTTCTTGCTTTCTGCCCAGCAAGAAGACAGGAGATTGCTGGAGGGGGTCGCCCTGTCCATTGATTTTTTCATTCACCAGATCGTAATTGAGCTTCTGTTATTTGTCTGGCACCTTCATGACATAATAAATACACGGACCCACAGGTCCGCCTATGGAATTACAAGTAAGAGGAAAGTTCTTTCTTACAAAGAGGAAAAGATAGGAGCCTGGAAGAAAGAATGCCGGGGGAGGAGGTGTGATTTGACTGGGGAGTGAGGTAAGCTGCTTTGAAGCAGTTACTGAATAGCAGACTCTGAACAAGCATTCCAGATAGAGGGAACAGCATGTGCAAAGACTCAGGGCTGCGATGGAGTCAGCATGTTTGAGGAGCTGGTAAGCCCAGGCTGGGTAGAGCCAGGTGAGTGCGGAGGAGGGCAGCGTAGGTGGTGTGGAGGGAGAGCCGGGTGAGTGGGGGAAGAGCAGCCTAGGTGGCCCCACGTAGGCCAGGCCATGAGAGGACTGTCGGGCACAGTGAAGAGCTGGCATCTCATCATCGGTGGGATGCCAGGGCAGGCTCATCACAAGCAGGGGTGGGTTGATGAGGTGGTGTTTTAAAGCTATCTTGCTGCTGCTGTGGAAGAATGAATGGGAGAAGAGCAAAGGGACGGTGGAGGGACCTGGACTGGAAGGGTTCTGCAGTAATTCACGTGAGGGGTGGGTGTGGTCTGAACTGGAGCAGCCTGGGGAGGTGTAAGACCTGGACAATGGAGTTGTATTTGGGCAGGGGGGCAATACAACAGGACCTTCCTATGAACTAGAGTTGGTGAGGGACAAGAAAGCATCAAAGAGGACTTCAATCAGGGAAATGTTCTTTCTCAGCTTTGAATATGCCTACGGAACTTACGCAGATATTGGCAAGTCAGTTGATGTGGTTTTCAACTAACTTCTCTCATTTATCTTTCAGAATCATCCAGAAATGTTGACTTTTCGAGTACAACTGGAAAACAAAGAACTGATCATAAATCTGGAAAGGAATGAGTAAGTCAAGTTACTTTTTGTTTACTGCGTGATAAGAGAAAGTTAAGACAGCGTGAAGTGAAAAGTGCTGTGTAATTGATGTTGGCATTTAGAGAAACAGAAATAAACTCGTGGATTCACAGTCCGAATTTGGATTTGAGGCTGGAATTAACTTAAAAAAAATTATCCAATGGAAAAATAGAGAATTTTATCACTCTAAAAAAGAACTTTGTAACTCAGCAGGTTTTTCTCATAGTTCTGATGTTTCTTTTTTTTCAGAGCCTAATTTTTCAAGGCTAGAATTTAAGCATCCTCTGTTCTATTCAAATAACAGTATTCCATAATTAGTTGACTTTTGGCAATTCCTGGGTTATATAAAGAGAAACAGCTTCAAATGGATAGAAACTTTTTTATTTCCCTGAGAAATACCAAGAGTTTATTTTATCTTTCAGAGCTTGTCTCCAGTGGTATAAAGTATTTATTTTATCTTTTTCTTTAAAAATTTGACCCTTTTTTGAAAAATTATATAAATTTCCAGAAAATGGTATTATATTTTTCTGGGGCACATGGATATTATTACATATTTTGTAAGCCTTCCCAGTGGAAAACTGAGCCTGCTTCAAGGCATAAGTAAAAACCACCCATGTTCTTGTCATCCTGTTGAACACTGTGTGACCACATCCCCAAGGGTTCCGCAGATCTAAGGGACTCCTTGCTGTCTTATATGAGTAGTACCAGAAAAGATTTGAGGTCTCCAAATGAACAGTCTGTATTTGAAGGTATAAATCAAGTTCCCAGGTTCTGCTCAATTCAAAATATGAGTTTTTCCCTTCTGGAACTACTGGGTCCTGTTCCTCTCCCATCAGTGAAATGCTGATTACTTTTATGACAGTGTAGAAAGGAGAGCTTCACTGTAATGAGTACTGCCAGAGATTTTGAGCCACAAAATCGACTCAGCATCTCCCTGTAAACAATTCAGATCATTTGCTTGTATCATTGCTTTGATTGGTGGTTCCTAAGCAAATCAGATGAATGAGATCTTCAAAGCCAGTGCCCACATTAATATGTAATACCATGGCCAACGGCAATTTAAAAAAGCAGGTAAATAAATGTACATAAATATATATTTTATGTGAATATATGTACACTAGTGTGGCCTGTTCCTTGGCATCTGCAGCCTGCCTCTTCCTATTTCTGGCATGTTTACCCCTCCCCCTTAAGTGGATGAAAAGCTTTTGTAAGCAGTAAACATGTACTTTTAGCTTTCCTTATGACTTGATGATCCCGATGTAGAGGTTCATGCACACATCTTGGATAATTAGGGAGCTGAACAGAAACCTGTATGTTGCTTTTGATATGTCTTTCTTAGATAGATTTTCATGCTGTTTTTTTTTCATGTAAGATTATGGGACATTTTGATATTTGCATATTGCTCTTGTATGTGAAGAAACTAGGTATTCCCTGGAAGATCAAAAGAAAGTAAGGCTTCTGGTGTGATGCATTTCCTTGGGGTTTTAAGATTGGTGGCTGGATTTGGAGAGTGTCTTTATTGCAACCACTCCTCTTGGTAGGCAGTTGGGGGGATGTGGTGAACAGCATGAGTGAGACCCATCTGGGACCCTTAGATGGTGTTAGGTCTGCAGGTAGAGGAATGGAAATAGACTTGAAATGGAAACTTTGATTTGTTTTTACCATAAAAAAAAAAATACATGTCCAGTAAATACATGTCCAGAAAATTGAAAACTATAGGGGGAAAAAAAGACTAAAAATATAATTGAACTACTACCGAACACAATCTTGGTTACTGTTTTGGTGGATGTTTATATAGATTCTTATAAGTAAGGTTTTGTTTCCTTTGTCTTTCTAATTGATATCGACGTCTGTGTGCAATTTGATAGCTCCTTCTCCCTTCAGCTTTGTAATGTACTTTAGCTTGTAATGGACACTTTTCCACACAGAAATGCAGTTCCTAGAGCCCATCTGGTTCTCTGCATCTGCAAAGTGGCTTAATAAGCCTTGTTCATGGTTCCCCTTGAAAATGATTTACCGCCCATTAAGGTGAATAGCATTATACACATTGACTGTTAGACAATGGCTACTCTGTATGAGAGATCATTTTAAAAGGTGCTTTTTTTTTTACTTCCAGTACTGGGCCTTTCACACAAAAAAATCTCAAAATGAGAAAAGCTGAAAACATAAAACTCTCTCTTCTTGATTTATTTCTCTCTTTCCAACCTCACTGTCAACCCACATTTTTAAAGAATATATGACAAGTGTTTAATATTTTCCTAAGGACAGACTACATAGCTTTGTGTTGATTGTGCTATTATACCAATTCTATTCTGCTCAAATCAACATTTCATAATCAGAGCATGCCAGCATCACTGTTTTATTAATGCTTCCCTAAAACGTTTCAGCATGATAATATTTTGAAAAGGTTACAGGTCTTTTCCGTATGGACTGCACTAGTGAGACTATACCAAAAGTCTTCAGTTTTATAAGTAGAGTGAAATGCTTGTGTGCTAACTAGCTCTCAGCGCTGTCAGACACAAAAGGTAATCCATCAGCCAGGATAAAACAGAACTGCTCACTGGCATAGCCTTTGGTCCAATAGCTCCAATTAGAGAATTCATCCAAATGAAGTTGTAAGAACCCAAAGATAAATGTGACTATTTAGCAGCCTGCCGAGTAGAGAGCCTGACCAACCAGAAGGTAACCTGGTGGGCACCCAGCTTTGGTGCAGACATGCTGGGAAGCAACCCTTCATCCAGGGTGTTCAGTGCAGAATGTTCTACCTAAAGTACATCGACAGGAGATTGGTTAAATAGATTATGACTCAGCTATGAAATAGACTACTACACAGCAATTGAAACTGACAGTGGAGACCTTTCTTTTTGGAAGAAACATTCATGATGTAATCAGTGTACATGGTATATTCAATACAAGTTTACATGGTATCCAGTTTTTATTTTGAAAGTAGACGCAGGTACATGTATCTCTGAGTGGTAAGATTATGAAAGACATTTACTTTATTAGTGTTTGACATGAAATTATTACCATTAAAATGAGGAGAACTTTTTATATGGAAGAAAAAAATTGCAGTGAAAACTTGAAAATGATAGAAAAGAAGAATCCATTGAAGTATTTATTATTCATAACATGGAAATGGTGAGTTTGGGAACATCCTCCAGCAACTTTCAAAGGGGTTAAAGCTGTTCCCATTGGATACTGGGCCTTTAAATACCCAGAAATCTGTTTTAATAAAACCTGCTTAGAGATCATAAGCAAAGGTTGCCTCAGTGGTTTGCCATAACCTAAAGCTAATGCTGAGAGAGTCACCTGATCAACCCTATTCAGAGCCTCTTCATGCACACCAGTTCTTCTTGAAACAGGGTTGAAATTGTATTAAAGAGTTGTTTCAGGGAATCTATTCTATTTGCCTTCTAGCATCCTAATTTGTACAAAGATTGGATGCTGTTCACTTTGAATTTGTGTTTGTGTAGCCATAATTGAATGTTTAAAGAAACCCAAAGCCCCCGCAGAGAAGCATTTTTCACGGTGTTGCTGTCTGCTCTGGAACTGCGGGGACCGGCTTTATAGCTCCCATAATTCTCCTGGATCCCCGTGGGCTCTCAGGCCCTTCCTCACACAGGTGCTCTGTGCAACTGCATCTTTGATCAAAATGCTTTATTGGACAGACTGGCCAGCTTCAACATCCGTTTTTCCAGTTTAGGATAATTAAAAGTGACGGCGGTAGATCACACTTCCTACATCTCTCAAACCACTGAGCCTCCGGTTTGCAAGCCCTGTCCCCTCACTGACGGACGGCAGTTGCTGGAGGAAGTCCATGAATTTGTAACTGGTGTATCTTCAAGCTTGAAGAGTTTGGCATTGACTTTTATTCTGTCTGGAATAATTCCAGACATCTCTGCAAGAGCAACTCTTATTAATATTCACTCTAGAACAGTAGCAGAAAGGGCCTATTACGTTTGTCACACATGGGCAGTATATTTAGGAGGGCATTTATTTGACAGCATCTCTCAGAATATCATGATGTGGGACAGAGAAAAGCAGCCGGGGTGGAGATAACATTGGGTAGATTGGGAGTTGGCAGAATAACTGCCCAGAGGATGTTAATCCGTAGTTCATGTTGACCCTAAGGGTGTTGGACAGCTGGACCGAGCTGGCTCTCAGTGGCCTCAGGGTTGTGTGCGAGGCCTCGTGCTGGCCCACAGTTCTGTCAGCCATCGCTCAGAAGACATGAAAGGTGTGTGGATCACATTTCTTGGCAACAAAGCTGAAGGGGGTAACTGCGGCAGAATTGGGATTACATTTTGGATCGATGGGCCAAAACTAACAAGATGAGATTTAACAGGGATAAGTGTAAAGTTCTATGCTTGAGTTGACAAAAAAATAAACACTGTAAGTCCAGGGGGAAATTTACTAGTAGTTCTTGCAAATGAGGCCTGCAAATGATGTGAGCCCCTGGGGCGATGTGGCTGCCGTAAGGTGGCTGTCACCTGTGCATGCGCATGGGTGCCACGGAGGGTCCTAGACCAAAGAGGCCACCATTCTTCCATGCAGTGACCCTGGTCAGCCACACAGAGCCCTGACCCCTGTGCTGTTCCATGACCTTTAGGAGCTGCCTGCCATTATCCTCATTTTCCTGTTGGACCTTCCCTACCTCTCTTACCACCGCAGATATCTTTAAGGTCAGGGGCAGGGTCTGAGCCCTCCTGCCGCCCCTTCTGCTAGGCCTGGCTGGGAACAAGCACTCGATAAGCATTTCCCAGCCGGGCAAATGATGGTTCATGGACAGCCTGGACCAAGGCAGAGGGGGTCATCAGGAGGTCAAAGGCCTGTCTTAAGTGGTGTGAGAAGCTCTTCAAGGAGAAAGCATCTTGAAAGGACACTGGGTTTGGGTCAGGAAACCAGTTTTGCTTCCAGCAACAAGCTGCTTATATTCTGTTTCCTCATCTGCAAAGTGAAGCCAAGTCTGTGTCCAGTCGGTGCTGTAAGTT